ATACGACCATAGGGTGTGGAAAACAGGGCTTCCCGTCCGCTCAGCCGTACTTAAGCCACACGCCGGTGAGTTAGTAGTTGGGTGGGTGACCACCAGCGAATCCTCACTGTTGTATGTTTTTGTTCTTCTTTGTCAGCTTTCGTTTCTCCTGCCACCCTACTCTTCAGTCCCTTCAGCCCATTTCACCTGAATGCCCTGAACACCACTATTCTACACCCGAATATCCTGCACGCCCCTGAACCGCTGACGTGTCCTTCCCCTCCCATACTGATTTTTCCTCACAGGCATGTTGTTTTGATCGCAACTCTTTGGTACTACTGTACGCGGGCTTCTCGGGCTCCCTGGGTTCTTACGCCATCGATCTGCACCACACCATCAATCTACGTCGGATGGTCTTTTGGCGACATCGATCTATCTGTCGGTCTGTCTTTTAACCGCTCTCGGCGCTAAGGCATCTTATTGCAAGGTATCTTATTGTAAGGCATCTTATTGTAAGGCATCAACAGAGAAACCTTTACACATGGAGGCACAACACACACACACACACACATATACATATAACCCTGCTATGCTCAAGGGCTCGAGATATAGAAAGGAGCATCACGTAGACGATGCCACAGATGGATAGACTATGCCGCTGAGCTGGGGAAGAGGAAATTGAATCTGTATAGGCGCCAATGGCTGCCTCTGATCCTTGAAGAACAAATATCAGGATGAGAGCAATTCTTCTTCTACACTATGTAGCTTTAGGAAAGTGAGTTTTGAAACGGAAACGTTGCGACCATTACGGCAACCCGCTCAGCCGCCCACAAAGCGGCAACGGATTCAAATTTTGGTTACAGCGAGAAAATTTGGCAGAATCTGGATCATGTGACATCTACCCACATGACAATTTATGATGACTAACACAAAACATGTCCTGAGGTCGGCAATTCAGATGATCCACGCTATATCATACCGCTTCTGTTGCGACGCGAACTTACCTAGCTTGAGAAATCAAGACCACTGGTGTGAAACTCTACAATCTTCTGCAAATTGCGCAATAGGCGACATGGAAAATTCCGACATACCTGACGTAAGGATGACCTCCATCCCTCTAGACTGCAGTCCAACTGACACTAGGCGCTCCCAGCCTGCAAATGCAGGTGCAAAGTCCAAGAGTTTCCCCCTCGACGGTTGCGACATTTCCCAGGTGTCTGACGAAACCTTGACTACACTCTTTGACACTGCACCGGCTCTCCATTCTTATGAAGGGACACGCATTGTGCATGTGTCACACGCGTTAGTCCTCAAGGGCGGTATAGGTGCACGGCCATCTGAGGCCAACATCCTCAACCTTGTCGCCGAATGTGATGGATCAGAAACAATCCGAGTGCCTAAGGTCTACCGAGTTCTCAATATTGAACCAGATGAAATATACGGTTACAAATGCATAATCCTTCTGGATTTCATTGATGGCGTTTCAGTTGAGCAATGCTGGGGTGATTTGAAACAAACTGAGCGTATGAATGTTGTCTCTCAGGTTGCTTCAATGATAACTACTCTGCGCTCTATTCCGCTATCTCAAGAGCAACAGGATCAGCCTGGCCCAGTGGGCTGTGAAGGTTGTGTAGCTCATGGGTACTGGTTTACCGATATTGGAGCTGGTCCGTTCAGGTCAAAGGAACATATGGAAACTTGGTTCAACCGCCGACTTGACATCACCAAGAAATTCCACCAGGCGCCCAATGATGTCCCGCTGTTTCACTTTGACAAACTGGTTCTCACTCATATGGATATTGCACCCCGTAATTTGATATTAGGCTCTGATAGAAAGGTTTGGTTGATTGACTGGGGCGACGCTGGGATATACCCTGATGGATTTGAGATCGCCTCACTCAAAGCACGGAGATTCGAATCACCGGAGTATACTGATATGTTACTTGAAATACTTTCCAATATGATTCCGGAACATGAGGAGCTACTTCAGCAGCTAAGGTCAATTGCATTTGCGTTGACTACTGGGCAGTGGTTGGGGAGGGAAAGATTGGACTTTGGTCAAATTTAGTCTTGTAACCGAACGTGAATTGATCTTAATTAGTAGGGTGAGATGTACATAGCGTCATCGTTAAGAACCCATCTACTATGTCCCTTATATGCACTACCCCATAGGTGTTGGTGCAGTCAATTTGACTGCAATTATGAGATTGCTGTTACGACCCCTGCAACAGCCACCCAGTTGAGGGGGCGTTGAACCACCAATGGGCCACCGAGAGCCACCAACCCGCTAGACTGACTGAGATTCTGTAAGGATCGCATGGTTTCTATTGGATAGTACTAGCTAGGCCACAAAAGTGCATATAATTACATAACCT